GCATGCCGTGGGTCCGCTCTGCATGCCCTGTCTGTGCCATGAGTGTCCCTGGCGCCTTCCTGCCATGGGCAGGCCCGCAGGAAGAGCCGGGAGGGGTGGAAAGGGGACTCAGAGGAGCCACACCCCACAGCTGCCACCCGCTGGTCCCTACGGGCTCACCCACCCGCCCCTTGCAGCCAGGCCACAACACGGAGGGGTGGCGTTGGCAGTGCCAGCCTCCCCGGCCCGTGCCAAGGCTTCAGCAGGGGGCAGGAGGAGGGGCCGGCCCCTCCTCAGGGAGCTGGCACGAGTAAGGCCCGTGGGTGCAGGCGAGAAGCCCCATCTTCCTCCCACGTAGACGTTATTGTATGTATGGGTTTTGCAGTTGGCTTGGGGCAGCTGGGTTTGTCCTGGATGTACGATATTGTTATTATAATAATTATTATTCTGCTATGAGGTGTGTTCCTTGTGCGCCTCCCTCCCTACCCAAGCCACGCTGCTGCTCTCGTCACGGTTGGTGCCGGGAAGCTCAAGGAACTTCAGGCGGTGCCTCTTGACCCTGTTTTCGGAACCGCTCTTCCTGACTTCACAGGATACGGGAGACACTGTGTGTGAGGAGAGACACAGGGTGGGGGAAGAACTGTCTGGGGAGCTGTGCCTTGCCATCGTCAGGCTGCTCCGTGGTCTCTGTGGATCTGAGTACATCATTCTGCTCACTCTTCTCTGCTGCTGTGAGGGGCCGAGTGTGTCTCTGCACATAACTGGGGGCTTCCCTGGACACACTGAAGACCTGTGTGGGGTGGGGGCACTGGTGTGATGGTGAGGACGGAGTCTCACCTTTGCCTGTCTTGGCTGGGGGTCTTCCCTGTCCCCCAGGCAGCCAAGGGAGCCCAGACCCCATACAGGGGAGGCAGGGAGGATCTCCCAGAAGGAGGGCCCCCGCCTTCAGGGAGAGAAGCCAGACTCAGTCCCAGCCCAGGGAGGTAAGTGCTGTGACAGAGGAGCAAGGGGCTGCCGAACTCGAGAGGGCATCCAAGGGGGTGAGAGGGTCTCCTGCCCGCCTCAAGCGGGTCCGCATTCCAGGTCTTGCACTTACCGTCCCTTCTGCCAGGAACCCCTACCTGTCCCCTCCTAGCTGACTTTCTCCTATCCTTGAAATGTGTGGGAGACAGCAGTGGGGTTTGTTGGCCCACCCTGCCTGCCTATGGAGGCTTAGGCCCTCGACTCCCTCAGCCCATTTTGTTTGACTGGCTTAACCCAATCCCGGTAGGTCCACCAATCAGAGTACACCATTCTGCTGGTCAATCAGAGTATTCCATTCTTCTGGCCAGTCGGTTTGGTTCAGGGTTGGTCCTCTGACCCCAGTTGTTCCCGTCAGAATCCCTATCCTGGTGTCTGGTTTTTTTGTTGTTGTTTGGTTTTTTTGAGTTGGAGTCTTACTCTGTCACTCAGGCTAGAGTACAGTGGCATGCTGATAGCCACTGCTGCCTCGACCTGCTGGACTCAGGCAATCCTTTCACCTCAGCCTTCCAAGTAGCTGGAACCACAGCCACGTGCCACCACACCCAGCTAATTGTTTTGATTTATTGTAGAGACCAAGTTGCTCAGGTTGGTCTCCAACCCCTGGGCTCAAGCAATCCTCTCATCTTCGCCTTCCAAAATACTGGGATTACAGGCATGTGCCACTGCACTGGCTCCTATCCTGGTCATTTTTTTTTTTAGAAAGCAGGATTTATTGAGAGGACAGAAAAGCTTCCACAATGGGAGGGGACCTGAACAGGTTGCTCCTATCTTGGTCATTTCCTATCATCTTCTGGGGATTTATGGAAAGGAGCTGTAGGGAGAAGACCTGCATGTGAATGCAACCAACGTGGGAGAGCAAGACTGAGAAATGGAGGGAGATTCCTGACAAAACGCAGCCATGCTTGAAATCAGCCACTCCTGGGCTGCCTCCTATGCAAGCCAGTAAATGCTTTCCAGGTGTGTGTGCTTGTTACTATGAGTCAGGTTTCTAAGACCAGCAACTGCTGAAGTTGAGCTCTGTTTAAACGCCTCGGAGGACCCTTCCCTGGTCCCCCTGTACGGCCAGGGAAGGGCTCCCCAACTTTGTTCCCTGTCATTCTGGCCAGTTTTCTTCTTTCATGGCAGTTATCACACTCTGCAATGACCTTGTTTACTTATTCATACTCGTGTACTCACAGTATGATGTAGGTGCCCGATGGTAGGGACTTTGTCCATCTCAATCACCACCCTGTCTCCTTGGCCCAGTGAGCTGCCAGGGGATGCTGCAGGCTAAGATCGTCTCAGTGAAGGAAACAGGGGCAGCAGGGTGTTGGAAGTCCTGGCAACAGGCTGCATAGCACCAGGGTCATGGTGTGGGGTTGGGAGAAAAATGCATGTCCCTTCCCTGGCCAGCCACAGAACATCCTGGGGCTTCTCCCTTGCGGGAGGAGACACCCTTCCATGTTCCCCAGGATAGAGAGGTGAGGGTACCAGGCGAGGGATGGGCTATCTCCCCAGAGCTGGTAGACCCTGCAGGCCAAGCTCACCCCTTCACCCAACCCTGCACCTCTGCAGACCCAGCAGTGATGCCAGTTCCTCTTAGGACTCCCAGGTTTGCCCCAAGAGAAGGGGCTCCTGGTGCCGCAGAGGCCAGCTCTTCCTGGGGAGAAGTTCACACGACTGAGGTTCTAAGATAGACACATCCTTTATCTCATTGTTGTCCTCACAACAAAACAACCTGATGGAGATCAAATCAGCCTGCAGGAGGGGAAGGACTAGCCCAGGGTCCTGCAGAGAATTGTCACTGGAGCCTCCCCAGCACTCATGCTGTCTGACACAAGGACACACCCAGGGAGGCCTGGGTGCTGTAGAAACCCCTGATGGGGAGCTAGGGCTTCCTCTGGGGAGAGGACTTGGATATGGCTACTCAGGGCAGGGGGTAGAAGGGGTAATTTGGGAGTTGTTGCTAAAAATTAAGAAACAGTATGTGACCCCAGCAAAGCCATCAGAGAGTCACTCACTCCCAGACAAGAGGAGGCCCTCTGCAGGGTTATCTGTTTGACACGAAAACGCAAACAACTAAATGTAGCCAGGGATAGGGATAAAAACCAAAACACACTGTGATGTGTCCATGCTCTGGAATGCCACACAGCGATATAAAGAATTGGGTACAGCATGTCCTAATGTGGAAAATTCTTCAAGATGTGTCATTGTTCTGTGAAATAAAGCAGAGCAATACACATGGCATGATGTCTTTGTATAAACCACAAATACACAGGCATTTACAAGCATACAAAAGAGAGAATGTTCTAGAAGGATACATGCCAAGCTGTCAGGAAGACGGGGAGTAGACTAGGACTGGGGGTAGTGGTCAAAGGAGACTTTCATCATAGCTTTAATTTTTTTTTATTTTTTATTTGCGTTAAAGTCTGACTCTGTCACTCAGGCTGAAGGGCAGTGGTACACTCACGGCCATCGCAGCCTTAACCCGCTGGGCTCAGATGATCCTTCCTCCTCAGCCTTCCAAGTAGATGGAACTACAGGCACACGCCACCACATCCAGATAATTTTTCTTGATTTATTGTAGAGACAAGGTCTCACCAAGCTGCCCAGGCTGGTCTCAAAGCCCAGGGCTCAGGCAATCCTCTTTCCTCGAACTCCCAAAGTGCTGGAATTACAGGTTTGAGCCACTGCGTCCAGCAACTTTTTTAATGATTGCAATTTTAAATAATTACAATAGGCTGGACTCAGTGGCTCAGCCTGTAATCCCAGCACCTTGGGAAGCCAAGGCGAGTGAATTGCCTGAGCCTGCGGGTTCAAGACCTGCCCAGGCAACTTGGCGAGACCTCGTCTCTACAATAAAATCAAAACTAATTGGGCATGGTAGCGCGCGCCTGTATCCCAGCTACTTGGAAGGCTGAGGCAGAAGGATTGCCAGAGCCCAGTAGGTCAAGGCTGCGGTGACCGGGAGTGGCCACTGCACTCCAGTCTGGGCGACAGAGTGAG